GATGCGGTCCATCTGGACAACTGAAGATCATCCCTGCATCTCGGGGTCTTTAGCTTCATCGCTTCTGCCAAGTCCCGTTTGCCTTGCAGGTGACATCTTCACGGGTAGGACATGGACATCTCTGGGGAACAGTGATTCCGCCAGCCTCAGCAAACAGCTGTGTCTCGTTCCTTCTGTTTCCAGAATGATGTCAAAAATACTTTTTAATGAATGAATGAATGAATGAGTGAACAGGCCCCGCAGGCTGTTGGGGGTCGGTGGGGGGAGCCCATGAGGGCAGCCAGAAGGACCATGGACAGGGAGGAAGAGGCCGGGAGGCGCCCTGCACCGGCCCTGCCTGCTGCACCTGCCAGCTCACATCTGCCCACAGTCATGCCTGTGGCTTCCCCTTGGCACTGGTGACGTGGGTGGCGCCAGTGCCCGTGAACATTTCCCTCTGGGCCCCAGGAGGCCTTGGGCAGCCTCTGCACAGCCTGTGGGCTCTGGGCACAGAGAGGAGCAGGAATGTGCAGTGGCAACACGGGAGGAGAAACGCCATCAGGACACGACTTTATCTGGGGCTGATTCGCTCTCGGGCCAGAACCTTAACCCTCATGCCCCATTCACAGGAGAGAGCCAAGCCCCAGTCATGTCCTGGACCCCGGGCTCTGGGTCCTCCTCCCAGCCCCGGGGGAGGGCAGGCCAGAAGGAGCATGGCTCTGGGGTCATGCAGACTTGAACCCGTGTTCTTTGGGATGCTCATCTAAGCCTTTGGGTCATGGACGCCGTAACAGCTGTCTTCCTAGGTTGGGTTGGAATGAGGACACCGGGTATAGCGATCAGCAGTAAAGGGGATTCTAGGTCCCTGTTCTGACATCTACTGGCCGTGGAAGCTTAGGCAGTCGGTCGTTCACCTCTGGCCTTGGTTTCTCCATCTGTGAAATGGGTAGAAGACTGTAAGGTTCGCCAGGAGAGCTGGAGGAAGCCCTGGCTGACAACAAAGTGGTCCGGTCACTGTTCCCAGCCTCTGGGGGAGACCCGTGGCTTTCTCTGGATGTAGGCCCTGCAGCAGACTGACCCACACAAACTGAGCTCCTGCATAAATACGGTCCTGTGGTACCGTCCTGGCTGCTGGGGCCCCCTGGCCTGCTCCTCAAGTGGCCATTGGGAGGCCACCAGCTGCCCCCGCTGAGTGGCATATCGAGCTCAGTGGAGAGAGCAGGACACACTGGCTCATTGTCCCTGTGGCTGAGTAGCAGCAGCTGTGGGTCCTTTGACCCCTTGTTTCCTACACGGCGCCTTGCCTGTCCCTGCTGCACCTCCCCGGAGCCCCTCCAACAACATCTGGATGAGCGGGAAGCCCTTACCCCACAGCACCTGTCATCAGGGGGCCCTTTGTGGTCATAAACTTGAAGAAGGGGTGGCACCTGGGACCCTGGGACATGGAGGCAGACACTTGGGTCGGGGAGCCCCAGGCCACAGGCATCCCCGATGTCTTACCTGGGGCAAGGGCCAGGGAGGGGCTGTGTAACGTCAGACAAGTCCTTTATCTCATGGACGGATGACTCATGGGACCTGCGTCAGGCACCCCACAGGGGGGTCACTGTCCTGGGTCTCCCTCCACTGCTATGGAGCTTGGGGCTCAGAGAGGCGACCGAATGCCTGGCCTGATGCCACCGCCCACACTGTTTCTATGAACTCAGGTGTCCATGTGGGAAGTGAGGCAGGTGCAAGGGAGAAGAGGGAGGAGGGCCGGTGGCGCCAAGGCCAGGGAGGTGGGGCGCAGGGAGCCCGCCAGCCAGGCCCTGCGGCCAGAGGACTGCAAAGCTGGCCCTGCCTCTCAGAGCCCGTGCAGTTAAAAAGAGAAAGGGGCAGCGTGGTGATGATTCAGGAAGTTAAATGAGGGCCCCGTAATGATGGTGATTAAAAATTAACATGAGTGTTTGTGCAGCGATTTGGGCGTCTGCTTTGGGCCCATGAATTAATTAATAAACCACAACACCAGAACTGAGGAGCAGCTGCAGGGCACAGAGGAGCTGACTGTGAGGTTCTAGAGGGGACATCAGGGCGCTGGCCCCGGCCCCCCGGCCCCCGGCCCCCAGCCCCCGGCCCCCAGGACTTGTCAGGCCTGGAGCTCACATTGTCTTGAGACAATGGGGAGCCAGTCCACTTTGGGAGCCAGGAGCTCCTAAGAATGAGGGACGGGGCAGCCCTCTGGTCTCCCTGGGGTCCAGCCGACACCCTGCTGCTCACTGAACAAGGGGTGAGGCCTGCCGAGACGGAATTTCCAGATGGGCAGGTGTTGGTCTCCTGGGACCTCCGTGACACATTTCACAAATGTGGCAGCCGAACGCAACAGAAGTGTGTTCTCGAACACCCTGGCGGCCGGAAGTTCAGAATGGAGGTGTCAGCAGCTTGGGTCCTCCTGGAGGCTCTGGGGGTGTGTGTGTGGGGGGGGAGCTGGTCCAGGCCCCTCTTCCAGCCCCCACCCCAAGTGGCAGCCGGGGATCCTGGGCGTTCCCTTGTAGTTGTTAGAATCCCAATCCCTGTGTCTCTTCTGGGTCTGTGGGTCTGAGAGCCCCCTCTCCTTCTTCTTAACGACACCGATTATTGGGTCTAGGACTCACCTGATTCCAGGAGGATCTCATGGCTGGAGCCTTAACCGAGTGACACCTGCGAAGACCCCATCTCCAGACAAGGTCACATGCACAGGCAGCAGGCGTCAGGACTTTGAGAGAGAGTTCAATATGCTGCAAAACGTTCTTTAAATTGGCAAGCACCATGAACCAAGCTACCACCACTTTTTCAATTGAAATTTTTTCTTTTTTATTTGAAAAGCAGAGCTCTTCTATCTGCAGGTTCCCTCTCCAAATGCCCACAACATCTGGGGCTGGGCCAGGCTGAACTCAGAAGTCAAGAGCTCCAGCTGGGTCTCCCATGTGACTCAAGGACTTGAGCCATCTGCTGCCTGCCCTGGTGTGCGTTGGCAGGGAGCTGGATCAGAAGCAGAGCAGCTGAGACCTGAACCAACACTGCCATATTGGGATATGGGCATCCCAAGTGACAGCTTAACCCAGTGCACCAAACACCTACCCTGGGGCCATCATTCTTGTGTCAAACTGACAAGGAGTGACTGGTAGAGGGACAGCCACCATGCACCTGCTGGCTGGGCATAGACAGTGGATGGGCAGCCCAGGGAGGGCAGGGCCTTGACAGGAAGAGGAGAGAAGCTGGGTGTCTCATTCGTGAGCCTCCACCTCTTCCTTCTTTTTAAAAAGATCTATTTATTTATTTGAAAGGTAGAGTGACAGGGAAGGAGAGACAGAGAAATCTTCCATCACTGCTCACTTTGCAAATGGCCACAACAGCTAGGCCTGGGGCCAGGCCAAAGCTGGGATCCAGGAGCCCGGAACTCCACCAGGGTCTCCCACATGGGTGGCAGGGCCCTAAGTCTGCATCATCTTCCTTTGCTGTTTCCAGGCACATTAGCAGGGAGCTGGATTGGAGGTGGAACAGCTGGGATTCGAACCGGTGCTCACATGGGATGCCTGGGCTGCAGGCCGAGACTTAACCTGCTGTGCCACAGCGCCGGCCCATGGCCTTCCTTCCTGACCCCTGACTGCCGCTCAGGCCACCAGAGCACTGGAAAGCCCCTAGGGTAATACCCCTGAGCTGCAGCTGTGTTGTAAAGCATCCCCTAACCCAGGCCTCAGGGGTGCTCTGCTGCCTTTCTGGTGCCCCCCCCACTCCGACCCCAGGCTTGTCCAGAGAGGACCCCAGGCCGGGCTCCCACTTGTTCTCCATCCTTGTTGCTTACCATCTTTCTCTGACCTGCTCTGCGAACCCAAACCCCTGCCCATCAGCCCGGGCTGGACGCTGCCCGTCGCCTGACCTTCTGGAATGTTCTCCCCGATCATCCTCAGATTCCTCTGAGCACGCTCCCTCCCCGCCACCCCGCCCTGCCCCCAGCTCCTCCCTCCCCCACTGTACTTCTGTGTTACCTGCTTGTGTCCTGCACTTGGAGGGGCTGTTCCTGGTGGTGGGGGCAGGATGAGGCTGGAAGGAGACCAACACGAGACCTGGATCTGAACGCCAGCCTTGCTGCTGTTGGCATCTCAAGGCCTTGCTTTCCTGATCCCTCCTGGCTGCCCCGTGAGCTTGCTGCCCGCCTTCGACGAGCCTGGCCGACAGCTGACCGTGTCCTTGACCGCCAATGCACAGGAGAATGCTGGACTTCCACCCAGGAACCCCTCCTCCACACCCCCCAACAAACAGCCCTGCAGCTCAGCCCCTCTGGCTCCCCCAGCGTAGTCAGAGGGAGGCCCAAGCTTCTGGAAACTTCTGGGCTCCTCCCCCTCCCCTGCCAGTCCCGCCTCGGCTCCAGGTGTCTATCTCTAGCTATTTTCTTTTCTGATCTGGAGTTCAAAGGAACAACAAACCTCAGCGCACAGTCACAGCAAACAAAAGCCAGCCGTGGCCTGCAGGGCACTGCCCACGTCTCCTTGCTCCATCCCAGTGCAGGAGGGCATTGGGTTCTGGTTCTCTGGGCATCTAAGGCCGATGTGACTCTGCGAGCAGCCGTTCCACTTAGAGGCCGGGCCAGTTTGGGGCCAGGGCAGGGAGGGGGCGGGGAAGCCGGGTCTCCTTAAAGCCCTCAAATGCTCTTTTGAGAGCATTTTCAGAAGTCTGGGGCCCCTGCGGGGCAGGGATGGTGCAGTGACCATAAAACAACATTTGCATAGAGAGTTTTCGCAAAGCACTATCTCAGGGGTGGGGAGGCCCGGGGAGGCCACCCAGCCCTGGGCAGCTCAACTGCCAGCCAGCCGGGGTGGAGATTGTGTTCCTGGTAAACAAAGCACCATTCATCCAACTATTTCCGACTCCAGCAGCCTTTGGTTCTCCCCCCTCTCCTGTGAAGAGCTCACTCGGGGCTGTCACTTGGGCCAGAATCCGGGTCCCAGAGGGGAGGCTTGGCTTGGACCTGATGGGGGGGCGGTAGTGGTGGGGGGAGCTCCCTCTGCACCCCCGCCACTGGCCCCTGAGCTGTGCTGGAATCCGCGCAGCCTTGCTGGTGTTGGTTTGTGCAACCCTGGGTTTGCCTGTGGCTGCGTCTCAGGCGTGCAGGCTGAGCAGGGTTTGGGAATGTCTGCCCACGTGCCCTGTGCGTGTTTGCAGAGCGTTAATCCCACCCCCGCCCCGTGTTGCCTCTGTACACAGTGTGGGGGTGTGGGGCCCTGGGGTGCCTGCACCTGCATGGGTGGGAGGGGTGAGGCAGTGGGCCCCACTGCTGTCCCCCCCACCCCCAGCTTGCGTAGCAGAGTGGCAGCTGGCATCCTGGGGGAGGCGGGGAAGGGGAAGCAGTAGGCCCTGGCCCCTTAAGAGCCTCTGATGAGCCTTATAGGGTCCACCTGCAGGGCGCCAGCGGCTAAGCGGCTAAGATGCAAGAGGTCATTGCCGGCCTGGAGCGCTTCACCTTCACCTTCGAGCACGATGTGGAGATGCAGAGGGGCACGGGGCTCCTGCCCTTCCAGGGCATGGACAGTGAGTGAGGAGCCCCCTCCCCAACCCTGGACAGTGAATGAGCAGGCCCCCTTCCCACCCCGGGCAGGGGCAGTGAGAGAGGCGTCCCCCTCACCCCCAGCAGCCTTCTCTGCCCTGCTCCCTGGGAGCCGGGGTGGCCTTTCTCGCTGGATCTCTCTCTTCTGTGGCTTCTGGTTCCATTTGCCCCGCAGAGAGACGCAGAGACGGGGAGGAAGGCCGCGAGCTTGCCCCCTCCCCGCCCCAGCATCAGAGTTGAGGGTTACGGTATTGAGGTTCGAGGCTAGCTCTGGAGGCCAGCCCCCAAAGGGCCCAGACCTGGGGACCCACGGGCCTGAACTTGAGGGATGATTAGAGGGGCTTTCGGGTGGGGTGGGTGTGAAGGCCCCCAGACAGCCTCGACACTGGGGAAGCTGCCTTCCTCCTCCCTCCTTCCCCTTCCAGAGTCAAGTTCAGCTGTGTGCAACTTCTTCCCTAAGGGCCCGTGCGCCAAAGGTGAGTGAGCGGCCGGCCGGGCTGGGCCGGGCTGGGCCGGGCCGGACTGGGCTGGGGCAGAGTTTCAGTCTTGCAGGTTGCTAAGGTGCCCGAGCCGCCGGCTGCTCCCCTCTGATCTCTCTGTCTCAGCAGCATTTGTATTCGGGTAGCCAGGCCGGGGTTCGGTGTTCCCAGAAGGTGGCCACCCCTTCTTTATTCTCTGATTTGCTTCCCTACATCAACAGGAAACCGGCCAGTTGTCCAGGGCCCCATCGCTCCTTTAGCCCTCTGGTGGCTCTGGCCGAGGTCTCTGAAATGTCTCCCGTGCTCCTCCAGCCCTGGCCGTGGCTCAAACCACACCCTCTCCCCAGGCACAGCCGTTCTGCGGAGGCCTGGCTTCCACACAGGGACTCTCAGCTTTCCTTCTTCCCAGAGAAAGACACAGTTGCAAAACCAAACGAAAGCTTGCCTCCCATGTTAGGGGACCCCCTGCCTGCCTGGAACCCGCCTATAGATCCAGGTTAAGAAATCCGCCCGTGCGGATGAGTTTAGGACCTGCGATGCGATCCAAAGGCCTTGTCCTTGCAAACTGGGAGGACTCGGAGCCTTGTTTATCTTTGGATCACCCTGGACAAGGGGGTGAGAAGGGCCGTGAGGTCTCTGATCACCCAGGGCTTGGGGCAGCCAGCGCCCTGCAGGTGTGGCCACGGCCTGAGTGACAACCCCTCAGCTCGGCCCATCAGCAGCTACGACGCCGTCTGTCTTCCTGTAGGCCAGAACCGAGAAGTGGCTGCAAGGGGGCATAGAGAATGCCTGTGCTGCTCCCCGGCTGCATCGGAGAGTTGGCTGTGCACGAGGCCGGGCCTGGTTAGAAACTTGGTGGGTGCAGGCTTCTTCCAGCCGCTGGCGATAGCGACCTGATACGAAAATTGGAAGACCCTCTGTGACTCCTCACAGAGATGGCTCTTATGTCAGCCTGGTCGGCCTTAGAAGTCAGGAAACCTAGCGTTTTTTAAATTTTACTTCTAGACTTACTTATTTATTTGAAAGGTAGAGTTAGAGAGAGGGAGGGACGGAGAGAGAAAGAGATTTTTCATCTGCTGATTCACTCCCCCAAATGGCCACAATGACAGGCCGAAGCCTGGAATTCCATCCCAGGTCAGGTGCAGGGGCCCAAGTACTCGGGCCATCTGCTGCTGCTTTCCCAGGTGCGTTAGCACGGAGCTGGAGGGGAAGCGGAGCAGCTGGGACTCAAACCAGCTCTCAGCCTGGCTGCCGGCGCCGCAGGAGGTGGCTTTGCCCATTGCACCACAACGTTGGCCCTGACATTTGTGGATTCAGCGGGCCCCTCACGAGCGCCTACTGTGCGCCAGGGGCGGGGCTGGGTGGGGGACACAGGTGTTCCGGTGTCTGCAGAGACGCTCTGCCCCTTCCGGCACGAGCACGGGGAGAAGACGGTGGTGTGCAAACACTGGTTGCGGGGCCTGTGCAAGAAGGGTGACCACTGCCGGTTCCTGCACCGCTACGACGCCACCAGGATGCCCGAGTGCTACTTCTACTCCACGTTCGGTAACGCCCGGCCAGGCTCGGTGCTCACCTGGGGCGGGGGGCGGCGGCAGTGGTGTCGGTGAGACGGGAAGGCGGAGAGGGGCTGGGGGGACTAACCAGGCTGTCCTGATCTCAGCTGCCTGCCTCTTCAAACCCCCCAAAAAAGCAGAGCTGTGCCCAGGTTCACCCCAGTTAGCTCCCCAAAGGGAAGGGGGTTTTGCTTCCGTCCCCGGGCTGGTCAGGAACCAGCCATCCCCGGTCGCGGGAGGGTGGGGGTCCTGGCCAGGGCTGCCCACGTGTCAGGCATTCGAGAGCCCCTCTCGTGATGCCGGCCCCGCCAAGGGAGCACCTGCATCGCTGGGTGCTCTATCAGCTGCCTTGCTATTTTTAACTCGTATTTTAGAGGAAAACTTTGCACGGCTTCTGTACATGGAAAACTCGCATCACTTGTCGGAAATAAAAGGTAACGAGAAACCTAAACCCCCGAGGCTCGGAAGTCGGCCCCTAGGCTCGTGTGCTCGGGCTGCACCTCCCTTCTGCCTTCCCAGGGGAGGCTGCGGCCACCTGCTGCCTCACTGGAGATCTGAGGCAGAGTGTGCCCAGCAGGTCTGTGCAGCTTGGTGCTTCTCAGAGCTGGAAGGAGCCTGGAGAGTGACCTAGTCCAGAGGTTTCCAAATGGTTCCAAAAAGACTGACCTGCAGAGAGAACTGGGGCCAGGTGCAGGGTCACCCCTGACCTAGGCTGGTGCCAGCTCCCCCCAGGCAGCTGTTCCTCATTGGTACCTATGGGGAGGTCCTGGGGACAGAGCTCTGCCCCCCCCCCTCCCGCCTGCACTGTGTCTCCTGCCTGCTGGGAGGTTAGGGTCCTGACAGTTCCAGGGGGTACCCACGTGTCCATCTGAAAGGGACAAAACTGATCTGGGGCCTGCCCCCTGCCCTCATCATGCCTGAATCTGTCACTTAAAAGGCCGCGTGCTTATTTATTCCTTCAATAACCCTTGGTTGCTTTCCACCTGGGGCTCAGCTGTATTGGGCTTGGATGCAGGAATTGGCCCAGGTCCCTTTCTGTCCTCAGATAATTCTGATTATGAGGGACAGACATGTTAACCACGATTAGAACCACGATTAGGCTGTGTGACCTATGTTTTTTTTTTTTTTTTAAGATTTATTTATTTATTTGAGAGATCTTCCATCCACTGGCTCACTCCCCAAATGGCTGCCACAGCCAGAGCTGAGCTGATCCGAAGCCAGGAGCTTCATCCGGGTCTCCCACAAGGTGCAGGGGCCCATGCGCTAGGGCCATCTTGCACGCCCTTCCCAGGCCACAGCAGAGAGCTGGGTTAAAAGTGGAGCAGCTGGGATGCTGGCACTGCAGGAGGCGGCTTCACCTGCTGCACCACAGTGCCTGCCCCAAGAGTCTATTTCTACTATATCAAAGTCACTCTCCTCGCCATTGGATTTAGCTTCTCCTTTTAGAACGTGTTGTGGGGGAGGTGTGGGAGGGGCACAGGGCAGTCCACAGGGGCCAGGACGGCCTCCCTCTGCTCCAGTGAGCTAAAGGTGTGTGGGTGGCTCCTAAAGGCTGGAGACTGAGGTGCTGCTGCCACCTGCTGGCCAGGAGAGGCGCACAGCGCTGTGAGTGTCCGGACTGGGGTGGGAAGGCAAGAGGGTTACAGAGAGCGCTTCCCCATCACCAGGGCACATCCAAACGTGCCTGGAAAATGCAAGGAAAGGTAAGTTTATTTTGGAGCAAAAAAATATTGTGAAATCCATGTTTTTTTTATAATATACGTTTCTGTGAACATTTTGAAGATCCCTTGTATTTCTGCCTAGCAAATGTTGACCATCCCTAGTCGGAGAGGTCCTTCCAGTCCTTAGAAGGCTTGGGCCCCGAGTCTCAGCCCTACTGAGTGCTGTGCCGTGGTGGTGGGCACAGAAGCTCCTCCCCGGCGCAAGGAAGCCCAGGGAAGTGCACGTGGGTCTCCCCTGTCCAAGCACTGGCTTCCTCATTTGGGAGATGACAGGGATGGGAGTGAATGGGGCTCAACACGCCTTGGAAGCAGGGCCCTCCTCTGCAGGGGCAGCCAGGCTTGGCAGGAGCCCGAGGCGTCACGGCAAGCATTTCAGGCCGATGCGAAGCAGTTCTGAAGTTCCCTTGGGCCCTGAGGAGCCCTGAGCTCCTAAGACTGCTAAGGAGGCTGACAGAGAAAGCAGGCAGAGACTGTCCACTTGGCGCAGAGGCGCGTGGGCGCTCTCGGAGGCTCTGCCGGCACCTCCTGGGCACCCCTTAGTACACAGGTGAAGCGTGAGGCTGGTCTCTTCCACGGACAGATGCTAGCCTAGGCTTGGCGGGACCACGGGTATTCCTCAGGTCAGCATCTGTTCACCTCCATGCCAATTTGTTTAAAGAGTTATTTGAAAGGCAGATTCAGAGAGAGAGGGAGAGAGAGAGAGAGAGCTTCTATCCACTGGTTCATTCCCCCAAATGCCTGCAGCATGGGTGGGGCTGGGCCAGGCTACAGCCAGGAGCTCCCTCAGTCTCCCGCGTGGGTGGCAGGGGCCCGAGGACTTGGGGACCACCCTCCTTTGCTTTTCCCAGGCGCGTTAGCAGGGGGGCTGGATCAGAAGTGGAGCAGCCAGCTGGCGTCACAGGTGCCAACTTTACCTGCTGCTCCATGGTGCCAGCCTCCTCCTACCCCCGCCCCACGCCAATTTGAAGCAGTTCCCTGCCTCTGCATTGCCCCCTCCGAAACGACTCCCTGGGGCTCTGAAAGCCGCCTGGGTTTCCCAGTAGAGAGGAAGAGACGGGTCCGGCCACGGAGCATGGCAGCCTCTGTGTTCAAAGCCTCCGCCCTCTGGGGTCTCCAGCTGTTGTTCTCTTGTTCCCTTCCTCCCTGGCAGCCTCTGAGCGCCTTCAGTGTCCCTGCTTCCCTCTTCACATCTGGCCCCGCCCTGACTCTTCCATGAGTGCACCCTCATGCCCGTGCCCCACTGCGCAAATGCGACTGGGATTCTAGGAAGGATTAGCAATACCTTGCTGTTAAAAAAAACAGCAACAACAAAAACCCAAAGGCCAGTGGCTTATGCCTCCGCAAGGGGCAGGATCAGTCCAGTTTGGGAGGCGAAAGCGACCCTAAAGAGAAGCCCCTTACAAGCAAAGCATGCCGGTCTTTCCAGGTGACTGCAACAACAAGGAGTGTTCCTTCCTCCACGTGAAGTCGGCTGTCAAGCCCCGGGACTGTCCTTGGTACGAACAAGGTTTCTGCAAGAATGGTGAGGACTGGACGGACCCGAGGCCCTGGTGGCCGTGGGTGGTCAGGATGGTGGCTCTCTGTAGGGGTGGGGCCGTGGAGGGACCCACAGGTGCACAGTGGCTCCTGAGGCAGGCTTACTTAGGTTCAGGTATTGCCTTTGACCCTGACAGGCTGCCTGACCTTGAACAAGTTACTTGACCCCAGGAAGGTCACGGCACAGGGGTGGCCTGAAGGAGACACCAGTTCACCTGCACTCTCTTGCCCAGCTGGGGATGGGGTCTGGAGTCACTGAGGCCAGTCCCGCCTTCCCATCGCTGTAGCCAAACCAGGAGGGAGGCTCCTGGCCAGGGTCCCCCGTGCCTGGAGCACTGTGTCTCCTTTCTCCTGAACCCTCAGCTGCTCTGTTCCTACTGAGCTTTCGGCACTGCTGGCTTAGGGAGGAGTTCTGGGGGGATGGAGGGGGGTCAGCGAGACTGTAGCGTCCTTAGCTGGATCTTCTAGAGCTAAATAAATAAAGACCGCAGATATGGTCCATGCCCACGCGAGTCCTTGAGACACGGAGCACGTTTGTGGCACCCCCTCTGCTCCCTACTTTAGGACCTGCCAGCGGAGCTGCCCCAGACACCTCCCCAGGGGCCCCTGCCCCCACCTTGGTCTCATGGCTCGAAGTGGATGCTTCAGGGCAGTGTGGGAGGGACGAGATTACACGTTCCCATTACATGCGGAGCCTGGGACCACCTTGCTCTTCCCAGGGAGCTTCCCCCTTTGCTCAAGTCCACCTTTTTCTTATTTTTAATTTTAAATTTTTTAAAAGATTCTATTTATTTGAGAGGTAGAGTTGCAGAGAGAAACAGAGAGAGAGGTCTTCCTTCCGTTGGTTCACTCCCCAGATGGCCACAATGACCAGATCCAAAGCCAGGAGCCAGGAGCTTCCTCCCAATCTCCCACGTGGGTGCAGGGGCCCAAGCACTTGGGCCATCTTCCACTGCTTTCCCAGGCCACAGCAGAGAGCTGGATTGGAAGAGGAGCAACCGGGACTCGAACCAGCGCCCAAATGGGATGCCGGCACTGCAGGTGGCAGCTTCATCTGCCACACCACAGTGCCGGGTCCAAGATTTATTTTTTATTTATTTGAAAGAGAGAGGCACACACACACACACACACACACAGAGAGAGAGAGAGAGAGAGAGGGAGAGAGAGGGAGGGAGGGACTGACCTTGGATCTGCTGGTTCACTCCCAAATGGCAGCAATGGCCAGAGCTGTGCTGATCCGAAGCCAGGAGCTTCTTCCGGGTCTCCCACATGGGTGCAGGGGCCCAAGCACCAGGGCCATCTTCCACTGCTTTCCCAGGCGCATCAGCAGGGAGCAGGATGAGGAAGTAGAGCAGCTGGGACTTGAACCGGTGTCCATATGGGAAGCCAACATCACAGACAGTGGCTCCACCTGCCATGCCACAATGCCAGCCCCTCAAGTCCACCTTTCTGATCGCTTTCTGGTTCCCTCAGGCCCCCTATGTAAGTACCGCCACACCCGCAGAACCATGTGTCTCCGCTACCTCGCTGGCTTCTGCCCCGAGGGACCCACATGCCAGTTTGCCCAGTAAGTATGATCTCTCACGTGCAGCTCCCGCCAGAGGGTGGGCCTGGCCTTCCAGGTCTAGGTCCTTGCGTGGAGCAGATGCGTGGCCAGCATCCGCCCACACCCACCCTCGGCCCTGTCCGAGCCCTGGATGTGGTGCTGCCGCTGGCCATCTGAACTCTGACTCGCCCCATTAATGTGTGCTCACGCTAGGGCGGGCACAGACGAACACCCTCACCCCCTGTTCCAGAGACAAGGGTAGAAACACATCACAGCAGCTTCCTCCAGGCCCCTGCGGGCAGCTCTGGCTCCCTCCCCACGGGGGTTCTGAAATATGAAATCCGCAGCAGGCTGGCGCAGAGCATGTTAATAAGCAGAAGAGAGGGTGAGAGCCTGGCTGTAATTGTCTGTCTCTCTCTCTCTCTCCTTAGTCCCAAGATCAATCTTGCATTCAACCCGAGTTGCAGGCAGGTGAGTGCCCGTGTGCCTCGCTCGCCTCCTTCCACACTGCTCCCAGCACCCTCGCCCACCTCCCAGCACCCTCTCCCACCTCCCAGCCTCCGCTCCACGCGCCATGATGTGCATTTTGGGGGGGGGGGGCTCCTCCCTTTTTCAGCCCCCAAGCTTTCCTTCCCCTTAGCTAGGTAACAGGTGTGGTTATTGTTACAGGGAACAGGGCCCAGCTCAGGACTTGGGGTCCGACGTTGATCTCCCGAATCGGGGCCACCCCGGGTTCCGACACGCGCCCAGACCCTGCCGATGCCAAGTGTTGACGAGGGCCCGCGTGGAGGCTTTGCGAACTGCGCCCTGCAGGCCGGACCTGGCCGCCGTCTGCATCTGCGCAGCAGGGGAGCTGAGCGTGGTTTTATAAAGCTTGGAGAAAAAAATAATAAAGTTTTGTGACACGTGGAATTGATTAGTTCCAGTGCTTTGTGGAGTTTGATTGGAATGGGGCCACGCACATCATTTCCCTCTTGTCCACGCGGCAGTGATGGAGGTGGGGCCTAGTGGGAGGTGCTTGGCTTGGGGGCGGAGCCCTCCTGCGTGGATTAATGCTGACTCATCATTGCGAACCCTCGCTCTCCCAGGCTTCCAGCCTCGGGAACTGTGAGCCAATGACCCCTCTTCTCTATAAACTACCTGGTCTCAGGTGTGCTGTTTGGGTGACAGAGGGACCACCCCGGGGACATTTACGCATTGTCTGTGGCGGTTCTTGGGCATAAGATAGCAGAGCTGAGTGAGTGCAATGCCCTTGCTGACCCCGGACTGTTGGGCTGCCATGTAAGTGTGAGAGGCCAGGCAGGAGCACAGAGAATAAACTCTTCAGGGAAGCTCAGCCCCAGAAGCTGGGAGGGCAGCGGGACAGACACCATCTGCAATGACTCGGGGACTTCTTTGATATCAAGGATTGCCTTTGGCAATTCAAACTGTGAATACAGGCCTTTGGAAAGCTGTTGCAGCCAGCCCCCAGCCTCAGTGTCATTGCCACTACAGTCTCTGCCCTTGGTGTCTCTTCATGATGTTGCTTTATCTGCAGCTGATCAGCCGCCCCAGGATGCAGCACCTCCTGCTGCCCCAGCTCCCCACGCCCCCCTCCTGGCAAAGTGCCTGCTTCCCCACCACCAGGTAAGGCCCAGACGCTGTTTTGCTCAGGGTGGGATGTGGTGCCTTTTCTACTCCCGGTGAGAACGAGATTCTAGGAGTGAGAATTCAGGAGGGAGGGAGAGGGGGTAACATCCTGTTAAGCTAACGTTCCAGTGTGGAAAGTCGCAACAACCTGATCCTGTTTGCATCTCCATAGGACTGATTCTTTAAAAGGCTGATAAGTGAAACATCTTTGGTTTCCTGTTTGGCTGCCTGTTAAAATTCTCTGTGTATAAGCAAATCCTTAAGGTGGGCAGGTTTTGGCAAAGGAGAGAAGGTAGCACCTTGTTTTTTTTTTTCTTTTCTTTTCTTTTTTTTGGTTCTTTTCTGATTTATCAGGAAGAAAAAATATCCATGTCTTTATCACATCTTCAGGAGACCGCTTCTGCCTTGTCGGGAGGTTTGATTTCTGTATTCTGCAGCAGATTAGTTAGACCAGCACGACGCGAAAGAGAGGCGGGTCCTTTGAGTTTCCGGTTCATTGGATTTTACGGGTCTTCAAAAGGCCAGAGCCTTGCTCTCCGGGATCGCGAGCCTAAGCTTGAGCTGTTATATCTTAATGTTAGCCGTCGCAAAGCACACCGGACACCGGAGAGAGCAGGAGAGAAGGGCAAGAGAGCACGTGTGCAGGAACAGGCCCTTTTAAAACTGCCTGAGGGCGGGCAGGGAAGCAGGAGCAGGAATCCCATTAGGATGGGGGTGGAGCCTGGCTCAGGTAGCTGGGCCATGCGGCCACCTGGCTACAACCGCGCCAGTTCCCTAACGTGAACCCCGGTCTCTTCCAGGCCTCAGACACCCAATGGATTATCTCCTCAGTTTCCCTAGACCATCGAGGGTTTGTCTTGAGATTTGAACTTAGGAACATGCACTCACTCCTGTCAAGAGTGAGGCAGGCTCCTGTCCCATCAGATTCCGCTGGCAGGAGTTGAGAGCCCTGGTCTGGGGAACTGCATACTTCTTCCTCCTCTTCCTCATTTGTTTGAAAGACAGAGTGACAGAGAGAGAGAGAGAGAGAGCTTCCATCTGCCAATTCACTCCCCAGATGGCTGCAAAGGCCAGGCTGGTCAGCTGAAGCCAGGCACTCCGTCCAGGTCTCCCCTGTGAATGGCAGGCGCCCAGGCGCTTGGGTTTTCTTTCTCTGCCTGCCCAGGTTCACTAGCAGGGAGCTGGATTGGATGAGGAGCAGCTGGGACTTGAACTGGCGCTCTGATACAGGACGTAGGTGTTGCAAATAGCAGCTTAACCCCGCCCCCACACCGTAACACGAGCCCCGTGGAAGGTCCTCGTTGGCCCCATCTGTCTAGGGGCTGTTCTGTTTTCAGGACTCCCCAGTGAGCCCACCAGCAGCCTAAACAGGGGACCCGGTGCAGGAGCAGCTGGTGCGTGTACAGTCACTCCCCTTTATCCTGTAAGGCAAAGAGTGACGGACAGGATAGGAAGCTTGTGACTGTGGCAGGAGCGAGTGGTCCATGAGCTGGGGGAGTAAAATGTGGGTAAACTCAAAAGCTGGAGGGCACGGGACATCCACGGTCCCTGCGCTCAGCTCCTGTGCTCCCCGGGCAGGTCTGGGTGCCCGCGGCCCCCCTCCTCCCCTGGCTCGGGGTGCCTGTGGCTCCTCTTGCGCCTGTGGCCTCCACTGCTGGAAACTGGCAATGTGTGATACGGTTTTCTCTGGCAGGACAGCTGCTTCCCCAGACGGCTCAGTTAGACTTAGGAATACATTCCTCCCTCAGGTAGGGGATTATGCGGCAGTGGATGGCACAACAAAGACTTGGCCTGGGGGAGAGCCAGGTGGTGACACGGGGCATTTACCATGAAGCCACGCATGCCACTACAGAAATCAAACATGGACGCAATTCAATTCCCTGGAAAGGAGGGTGGCCACGCAGAACTTTTTGGAAGAACAGAAAAGAGCGACAAAGGCCCTGGCTTTGGTGGGTGAGGGCAGCAGCCTGCCCCCTGGAGCTGCAGGGTCAAGGGTCAAGAAGAATGCCTGCCCAGGAGCCCCAGTTCTAGGCCGCCCTGGGCTACGTGGGCCAATTCCGTAACCTCCTCAGGCTGTTCCCTTGTTCTGCAAGATGAGCAGGACACAAGCAGTGTCACGGCCGTTGGAGGGATGAGATGGGAAAATGCAGGCCCACGCAGGGCACGTGCTTAAGGAGCAACGAGGAGCCCAGCTGGCATGGCGAGCTGCTCCTGCATGGAGGGCCGCAGGGGTCACCTGGGGGCAGCCCCAGGACACGTGGGCCTCCACGCCCCGTGACCCTGGACAAGCCACTCCCTCCCATCATTCCCCCTCCTGAAAATCTGACTAGGGAGCCCATCGCGGACACAAGGAGGGTTGAGTGGAGGGGTCGATCCTGAGAGCAGGGAAGCACGTTGGGGGAGGACCACTTCCGGGGGCTGTGTCTGGAGACTCCTCCCCTGCTGAGCCAGCGCCAAGCTCTGCCCGCCCTCTCCCCTCCAACCCTGAACAACCAGGAAGCAGGAGCGTTCCTGTGGGAAAATGCAATTTGCAAGGCCAGCGGAAATAGTGCCCACGTCGGTTGTATTTAAAAAAAAAAAAATCCATGGTGGAAAAAAAATGCATATTGGTCCTTAAAGAGGACCTCGGCTCTGAGTCGCATTTAAAGGGTGCGTCCCCTCTTCCTGGAGAGCTGCCTACTGCAGGGCTTTCTGTTGAAGGCTGAAGACGACCCTTTAACAGTCCTGAGGTGGGCTCCGGCCTTTCCCGGCCCTGGCCGAGCGGGGCAGCCGATCAGCTGGCAAGGCCCCTGCTGAGGTTCTGCAGGTGGAGGTGGCTGGGCGTGGGTGGACCCCAGATGCCCGTGGTTGTGCGGTTTGGTTAGGGGCAAGCCGGGTTTGGAGGCATCACGCTCAGACACAGATGTTTTGTTGCAGAACCTTCTAGAAAGGCGTGGAGGCCTGGGAGTGTCCCCTGGCCCCAAGGCAGCCCACAGGCATACCAGGTTGCAGCACAAAGGGGACAGGTCAGGCTTGAGGGTCAAAGGCGGAGGGGGCCTGGTGGGCAGGGGACATTTGGGACTTGTTGGGACAGCACTTTGCCTTCCAGATGAAACCTGAGACGCTGTGACATCAAAGCAGATGGGAAACCCAGGGGGAGAACGTCACTGTCACTGCAGCCTTGCCTGCCTCAGGGAGTGGTGGCCCTGGGGCTCATCCTCCCCCACAGCACCACCCTGAGACCAGAGGGAGGGGCTGTGAGCAGGGCAGGAAGCCACGTGGGAAATGGTCCAGGAAAAGCAAGAACAGAGGTGTGGGAAACCCAGAATGGAAGCAAGCTCAGGTAGTGCAGGCAAAGGCCCTGCTGTGTACCGAGTGTTGCTGCCCCCCGAAATGTACCCAGAGTTCTCAGGGTGAGGGTCCTAGGAGGTGGGGCCTTTGGAAGGGAGGAGAGCGCTTGCTCAGGGGTGAGGTCATGTGAGGACATGGCAACAAGGTGGCCAGGGGAGGCCTCGGCAGAACCCACGCCTGTGGGTCTGCGATCCCGACAGCGCGGCCCCCAGAGCTGAGACAGTGTCTGTGTGTACACTGGCACTGAGCAAGCGGCCGAGTGTCAGCTGCGCTGAGGTGGAGAACAGTGGGGTCTCTCTTCCTTGGTTCAAGTTTAGAATTTGGATGCAGTCTAAAGGCAAACATGGTTTTAGAACAAGCGCTATTAATAAGTCAGGCCTTGCCGGAATTTAGACACAAGGCTTCTCAACGAATCCCTACAAAGTAGGTATAATTATCCCCATTACAGCCAAAGGGGGCTCCAGGAAGTGGAGTAACCTGCGCCAGTGACACACGCACTCACCTCACAGGTGAGGTTCTGGAAGAGGCAAATGATTAGCTCAGACTGACATTTTTTTTAAAATATTTTTATTATACAGAGTGGTGTAGTAATATGCAGGCTCTGCATAAAGCATTAAACAGCTTGTTAATGACTCAACAAAATACTACTATTGGAGAAGCAGAAAGAGAGGCCTCCCATCTGCTGGTCCACTCCCTGAATATCCACACGGTCAGGGCTGGCCCAGGCCAGAGCCTGTAGCTGGGAACTCAACTCAGGTCTCCCAGGCGGGTGGCGGAGACCCAGCCACCTGAGCCGTCACTTCTGCTTCCCCGGTCTGAATTAGCAGGGAGCTGGAATTGGGAGGCAGGGCTGGGAGTTAACCCAGGGGTGAAGGGATCTTAACCACGAGGCTAAATGTCCCCGCCCCAATTTCTACGCGTGCTGCTGTGCCGGCAGCAGGATGTGAACATGGCTGGTTACTTACGGAAGCTGTCGTCAGTGCCCCAGAAGGCGCACAGCATGACTAAGAGCCAAATGCAGAAGGCTGCTGAGCGCGGGGGATCCTGGGAAGCCGCCTTCTCTTTCCCCCGGCTTTGTGGAGAGGACTTCTGCAGGTGGCAGAGTTGCACCTCCTGCTCGGGCCTGGCTGTGCAAATGAACTTACAGGGATACTCGCGTAAAAATGCACCTTAGGGCAAGTTTACACCGAAGCTGCACACTGGAGCTATGAAGTACATTCCTTGATCATGCTGAGTTTGCTTAGGTCTAAATCTAGGAAGAGAATTACCTGGTCATCAGCTTATCTCAACAATTCTCTTAAACTATTCTGAACATTACGAAGAAAACATCTACGGTCTTCAGTTATTCTCCCAACCCCGGTGGCAGCAAGACGACGAGGGAGCCTTTCTTTCCACTACTTTGGGGACTTTGCAAACAACTCCAGGACACGGAGATACCTCCAAGCTCTATTTCAAAGCCCTCCACATCATTTTATTTAAGAATGCATTCACAGTAACTTAAATAATTCTGCTAAAGAGTGTTGCTCATTCCCACCATGTGTGAGATAATCCTTGGTCCTGAATGATATCAAGTACCCCCCCCCCCCACCAGGCCTACAGGGTCTCCCCTGTGCCCTACACTGAGCAACAGGAAGCAGACATCCTTTAGGATCAATGGATCACTGGACCTTTTTTTCACACATCTGTGTATCGTGATTACCAAATGGTTAAGTACTGTCGGTGTCTCGGCATTCTGGTTTTGGCACGCGACACCAGTCGCAGCCATGCTGCCCTTGTGTGCTCCCACGGCACTCCAGGTGACGGGCAGTCCAGGGCAGCACGGGCACCCGGGACAGACTCCTATGTAAATGTCTCCTCACCCGGCCGGCGCCGATCTCCGGTCTGTGTAACTCTGACACCTGGACGGGTCGCCTGTCCTTGGGCGGGGGCTGTGAGGGGTCGCACAGGAAATACTTTTGAGTTTTGGGGGGCACAGGGTTTCTGCTGCAATTGCTCAACTTTGCCAGTGCAGGGTGAGGCTGCCAGAGCCAACAGCTGTGCGAGCGGGGCTGGGTTCCGGACTTCATTTAGAAGGGCAGGAGCAGGCCGGCGCTGCGGCTCATTAGGCTAATCCTTCGCCTGCGGCGCCGGCACACCGGGTTCTAGTCCAGGTCGGGGCGCCGGATTCTGTCCCGGTTGCCCCTCTTCCAGGCCAGCTCTCTGCTGTGGCCCGGGAGTGCAGTGGAGGATGGCCCGAGTGCTTGGGCCCTGCACCCCATGGGAGACCAGGAGAAGCACCTGGCTCCTGGCTTCGGATCAGCGCGGTGCGCCGGCCACAGCAGCCATTAGGAGGTGAACCAACAGTAAAAGGAAGACCTTTCTCTCTGTCTCTCTCTCTCACTGTCCACTCTGCCTGTCAAAAAAATAAAAAATAAAAAAGAAGGGGAGGGGCAGAGGCCTGCTGAAGGGGCTAAGGGACTAAGGGCGCACCACTGCGGGGCCGCCGCGTGCTGACCCAGGTTCGGACTCCCGCAGCCCTCTCGGAAGGGCCCTTTCAAGAGGACCCTGTCTGGAGGTCCAGCGCAGTTCCTGATGCCTGCACTAGACTAGAATTCTCGCCCTCAACTCTGACTTTTCTCCTTATGGAAAGTTCTCGTAGTTGGGGACACACTTGTGAGTATGCTTAACCATGAGAATCTGGGGCAGAGTTAAATCATCCCCACTAGGGAGCCAGAGTCCACATTCTGGGAAGAAGTGCAAGGAACAGCGCACAAGCGGTCTGCGCCGGCCTGAGAAGAACCATCTGCTTTTCCTCAGTTCTGAAAGAGCTGAGGCGTAGGAAGGACTGACCTCATATTTTGGCACGCGCATATTACAAGCAAAGCGGAGAGAGAGTGAGAGACTTCAAAAAGGTCATGGAAAAGTGGAATTAAAATTCAGTTTATATTGGTGCCAAAAATATTTAAAATCCATGTATAGGTTTTTCATAATCTGCATTTTCCATGCATTATGAAAAAACATTTTTGCACCAAAATAAATCCATACTTTTAATTCCATTTCCCACAGGTTTCCTGAGAGCAAGCCAGAGAAGCATCTGGACAGAATCCCATCTGTCCGCCTTAATGAAACATCTACTTCCTACATAACTGTTTCAGATGCCAATACCTTTATTCACTCACCCCCTCTCCTGTCCCAATACAATTTAAACGGTTAAACCTGTACCGCAGCCGTCCACACCGCACGCCCCTCGCAGCTCCAGAGCTTTCGTAAGCGGCGTCCAGGTCAACATTGCTTACGCCAGCGCTGCAGCTCTTTGGATAAACAGAGATAAAGGTTACGGACCCACGCCGCAGCCTCCCCCTCTCCTGATGTAGGCTTCTACCTCTCGCAGACACAGACCTACTGTTCCGTTTTTTGTTTTATGAATTTATGAAACATCTACTAAGCCTGCGCCTATTAACACCAGGTTTTACCAAGTAGACCCCTTTCAGACTGGCAAACCCTGAGGGGAGCCTTGACCTCGGTGGGCCCTGGTTTGGGCCGCACTGTTTGTGTGGGATGACGAGCGGAGGACTGTGCTCGCCACGGGGCTGTGCTGGGCCACCTGCCCTCCTTACCAGGCACTGATTTAGCCAAAACCCTCCAATTACAGTCAAGCCCCGGTTTTTTAAAAAAGTTTCATCATGCTGTATGTAAAATATAGTGACCTTTATTTGTCCATTATAATCTTGTACTTTTATACTGAAAGCGTCTTTATTTTTTTTAAAAAATTTTGTCCTTGGAGCTTATTTTTCTAATTGGAGAAAATACTGCATTTTTTTGGTTCCTAATGATGTCTTTTTTCCCCTTAAACTATGAAGATACATTTTAATTACATAGTACTTAGAAGGAGCCAATGTTACCTTGAAAGGGAAATAAATTTGGGCATTTTCCTTCTGGCTAAGGCTTGGTGCCAGCTCAGATTCCTAGAGGGGAGCTTGATTTTTGGATGCAGAAAGACTGGGACGCTGGGAGACGCCGGCACCCTGCCGAGTGTCAGCGGTTTGTGTTCCCGCTCCCCTCTGGGCCACCCCGCTGTGGTTTCAAGGCAAACGCGGCACCAAGGACAGCACCTGCCCTCTTTGAGGGACACAGATTTGGCCAGTGGATCTTCTAGACCGCACACCACCAAGGACAGCATTAGATGGAGGACAGGGGCAATTATGTAAATTCCAGTCAAATCCTACAAAGGCCATTATAAACAAAGTCTCAAATCCTCCCTCCCCACATACAACCCAGATCTCCAGGCAAGAGCTCATTTACTAGGGGATGTCGGGTACTGCAAAACTGGAATAGGAAAAGCAATTCAGGGGGTGCCTACAGTGCAGCGCGGCCTGTCATTTAGGCTAGAGACACAGAAAGGCTTACTCAGATGCCTGAAACTCCAGCGACAGCAAAGGATGAAGTATCCCGTGAAGAGCATCGTGATGCCACCGACTCCACGCTGCCTTACGGTGGCGCTGTACCGGATCCAGCCTGTGCAAAAGGAAACACGCCTGGCCGTTACATGTGACCTGGCACCAGGAAGCCCCGTCGTCGGTCTGGGAGCTACTCCGGCTAGCTCAGCTGGCTTGGGCGACTGAGCTGCAGTTAACAGAACTTACAAAGACACAGTTCACAAACACATAGTTTATGCACATGAAAAGGCTAAAATCCAAAGACCTAACCTTAACAAAATCACACTTCTTTTGGGAGCTTGCTTAGCTGCAGTGGGGAGGAGACTAACACAGCCGGTTCATCTGAGGTAGAAAACCTTGCTAGCTTGAGGAGGAGGCCTCGTCACTATGGGAGAGGCAGAAGGAGGGCATCGGAAATGCAAGCTGCTCCGTCACTGGCAGCTCCTATTGTATTAGCTTTGGTCAGACTCCAAAATGAAACGAGATAACAGAAGGCTGGGGAGACAGCACACTTGTTCTTCTCTTTTCCTCTTCCTCGTTACAAAAGCCTGAAGCAACAGAAGCTTCTCCCAAATGTTTGCAGTCAGCAACAGAACCCAGCAGTCAGCAAGTCCAGTCTCACCTTGCTGCACAGCTCCCCAGAGCCTCTGTAGGGAGAAGCCGGGCGGGGGTTCCACACTCACGTCAGTCGAACTTCTTTCCAACAGAGGAACTACGGTTCCAAACAGAAGTCACGGTGATTGTTCAGCTGCATTTACCCCCTCCCCAACATTTCATCGCCAGCGTTCCCAAGTCTGGGCCTCAGGAAAGCCTGTTCTGAACAGGTAGGTTAACGGTCTCGGCCTTGGACTTCACCAAGTGTTCAAAGTGAAATGCATGGCAGGTGGAAAACAGCCTTTTCTCAGAAGGCTGCGTGAGGAGCCCCCTGGTGGTCAGCAGCTCTGCTCGGCTGCGATCTGAGGACCACAGTGTGCCCAGGTGACCCCTGTGCACACCGTAATGAGGTGACTCACTCACACCCACCATCTGCTACACTAGAGCGCCAGCATCCTTATTTTGAAATGCTGGGGGCCAGAGATGGTTCAGACTTTGGATTCTGGGCTATCTGAACGTATACAAGTGAGGAATCTTGAGGATGGAGCCCAAGTCTAAACATGGCTTCATTTCTGTTCCATATGCACCGTGTAACACAGCCTCAAGGTGGTTTTTTTCTTTTTCTTTTTTTTGACAGGCAGAGTGGACAGTGAGAGAGAGAGACAGAGAGAAAGGTCTTCCTTTGCCGTTGGTTCACCCTCCAATGGCCGCTGTGGCCAGCACGCTGCGGCCAGCGCACCACGCTGATCCGAAGCCAGGAGCCAGGTGCTTTTCCTGGTCTCCCATGGGGTGCAGGGCCCAAGCACTTGGGCCATCCTCCACTGCACTCCCGGGCCACAGCAGAGAGCTGGCCTGGAAGAGGGGCAACCGGGACAGAATCTGGCGCCCCGACTGGGACTAGAACCCGGAGTGCCGGCGCCACTAGGTGGAGGATTAGCCTAGTGAGCCACGGCGCCGGCCTCAAGGTGGTTTTATTAAACATTTTTAGTGTGCCTGTGATGCCACGTGAGGTCCGGTGTGGAATTTTCCACTTGTGGTGTCAAGCTGGTACTCACAAAGCTTCAGATTCTGTGGCATGTTTGGGGTGTCTGGGTTCAGGACGTCTGTCACTACCAGCTACAGTCAACACGTATGTCACCCACTGCTATTACTGGCTAGCAAACATTTCTTTGTGCTTCATACACAAACACCTTAAGGAAAACCAGAAAAGAGGGCGTATGCTGCTCACCCACATTTTCCCCGTACCTGTCTTTATGTTTAACGCAGGCAGGGAATCTCTACCACTGAGAGTTCTCTGGTCTTGGTTTGGTTCATTAGGTTGAAGGACAAATCAAGCAAATTTTGATGCTAGGTTTAGGAGGTCAAAGTTGCTGTGGATGTTAAAACATGACTCAACAGTCATTTTATTAGGGTAACAGTGAAAAGAACCACGTTAGCTTCCAAGGTATGACACGGAGCATCAATGGGCAGTAAGGGACCAGGCTCTCTGGAGTTAACTCCCTTGCTAAGACTAGTCCCTTCAAACAATACGGGTAATTCATGCATCTTGGAAAAAATGAGGAGAAAGACATCATGAAAACTGCCTGTGGCCGGCGCCGCGGCTCACTAGGCTAATCCTCCGCCTAGCGGCGCCGGCACACTGGGTTCTAGTCCTGGTCGGGGCGCCGGATTCTGTCCCGGTTGCCCCTCTTCCAGGCCAGCTCTCTGCTGTGGCCAGGGAGTGCAGTGGAGGATGGCCCAAGTGCTTGGGCCCTGCACCCCATGGGAGACCAGGAGAAGCACCTGGCTCCTGCCATCGGATCAGCGTGGTGCGCCGGCCGCAGTGCGCCGGCTGCTGCGGCCATTGGAGGGTGAACCAACGGCAAAAGGAAGACCTTTCTCTCTGTCTCTCTCTCTCACTGTCCACTCTGCCTGTCAAAAAAAAATAAAATAAAATAAAAAAAAAATAAATAAAAACACACAAACTGCCTGTGTGGTCACGTCCGCAGCAGTGCCAGGTAAGCCTATCCACTTCCGGCTATGGACTAAGCCAAACTTAGGCGACATCAATCCAGGCTCTGAGCTGGGCTCTCGTAAGCCTACAGCCCAGGAAGGCCTGCTCGGCACCCACCTATCTTGTTCTGGTTGTTTTCAGTGCCTTCTCTGCCTGCTGCCCATGCATGCTGGCTTCCAACGGAGGGCCTGAGACCGAAACCCATGGCCACACCTATCGTCCCTCCCTTGCATCTCCTGGACACTGTCTTGTTTTTGCCTGCCACAAAAGTGCCTACATTTCAAGCCCAACTTACATGGTTGAACTTCCATTGACAGCAGCTCCACACACACACACACAGATTTATTTACTTACTTGAAAGGCAGAGAAAGAGAGAGAGAGGTCTTCCATCTGCTGGTTCACACCCCAAACGACTGCAACTGCCGAAGCTTCCTTTGGGTCTCCGTGCGGGTGCAGGGGCCCAAGGACTTGGGCCATCCTCCAGTGCCTTCCCAGGCCATAGCAGAGAGCTGGATTCGAAGTGGTACAGCCGGGACTTGAACCGGCATTCACAGGAGATGCCAGCACTGCAGGCAGCAGCTTTACCCACTACGGCACAGCAACAGCCCCTTACGGATATATTTTTAAAAGATTTATTTACAGGGCTGGCACTGTGGTGTAGCGGGTAAAGCCACCGCCTACAGTGCCGACATCCTATATGGGCTCCTGTTCAAGTCCCGGCTGCTCCACTTCCAATCCAGCTCTCTGCTGTGGTCTGGAAAAGCGGTAGAAGATGGCTCAAGTCCCTGGGCCCCTGTACCCGCGTGGGACCCTGAAGAAGCTCCGGCTTTGGATCAGTGCAGCTCTGGCCATTGTGGCCAACTGGGGAGTGACCCAATGGATAGAAGACTCCCCCACCCTGCTGTCTCTCTGCCTTTCCTTCTCTCTCCGTGTAACTCTTTCAAGTAAATAAATAAATCTTAAAAAAAAAAAAAAAAGAACTTTTGGGGGCTGGCGTTGTGGTGTAGCAGGTAAAACCACTGCTTATACTAGCATTCTACGTGGGCACTGGTTTGCGTCCTGGCTGCTCCACCTCTGATCCAGCTCCTTGCTAATGGCCTGGGAAAGCAAAGGAAGAAGGCCCAAGTATTTGGGTCCCTGTACCTACGTGGGAGACCCAGGTGAAGCTCTTGGCTTCAGCCCAGCCCAGTGCTGGCTTTCGTGGCCATTTGGGGAGTGAATCAGCGTATGGAAGCTCGCTTTCTGTAACTCTTTCAAAATAAATAAATCTTTATTAAACAACTTTGAACTTTCATGGAATCTTGGCTAAGAAGAATGGGTTATACATTCCCTTGCTCAGGCCAAGACCTTCAATAGGTCATCTGCCCCTTCCTGTCTCAGAACCCAAAGGACTCCCTCAATGCTTGCAGGCAGGGCTGTGGGCAGACAGCACCAGGTTAGCCTGTGTAAGGCACGATGCCTGCCTGTTCACGTGGTTTTCTCACGTAACCCTTGTATCAACACTGGGGCAGTGTTATCCTCTTTCATAGATAAGGAAATTGAGTTTCAGGGAAGGTACTTCAAAGAGTTCATGCAAAAATGCTATTAAAAGGTAAGTTTATTTTGGTTCAAAAAAAAATTTATTCTGAGGGCAGGCACTGCGGTACAACGGGTTAAGCTGCTGCCTGGAACACTTACATCCCGTATCAGAACGCACTGATGGGATCAAGTCCTGCCGCTGCTTCCAATCCAGCTTCCTGCTGCCGGGCCTGGGAGGCAGCACAATGCCCAAGCACGGGGTTCCTGTCACCCACGTGGGAGACCTGGATAGAGTTCCTGGGTCCTGGTATTGGCCTGGCCCAGCCTTGGCTATTGCAGGCATCTGGGGAATGAACCAGCAGGTGGAGGGTCGCTCTCTCCCTTCTCTGTCATAGTGCCTTGCAAATACACAAATCAATCTTGAAAAAGAGAACCATCAGAAAGTGTTTTGAAATCTATGTGGTATTTTCACAATACCCATTATCCAAGTTGTCACAGGTCCTGCGAAAATATGCCTGAAAGCACCACTGACCTCGAACTAGATACTATTTGATGCCCCTAGAAAATCGGGAGGAAAAAAAAAAAAAAAAAAGGCTTCCTGGTGAGGAAAATGAAGACATTTGGGAAGCTCCTGACGAGACTGATTCACAGCCAGGCTCGGGCCAGCGTCCACTCCTGCCTTCTATCTCTGGCCTTCCCCTTGCCCAGTTCACCTCCCAAGCCTGCACTTCCACCCCCTGTCTTGACCGCCACCCTTCCCTGGCAAGTGTACCCCGGCTTTGCCTCCCACTCCACAGCTTCCGCTCATGCTTTCTTTGCTACCGTGGATTCCAGATGCTGCCTCTGCCCATAAACCTCAAACCTGGTTCCTAGATGACCTGTCCTGATTACATTCTGAACACAGTGCTTGCTCCATTCAAGGGAATTCTGAAGTCTTTATGCTTGTCTTGGGTCTGTGCAGCCTGAATAACCACCCAGCCTCTACTGGTCATGCCTCTTCCCAATGTAGAAATTCAGCCACTAGCTGTACTACAAGCCTGTCATAGCCCACTTCAACACTTGGTAGAGGGGGAGAGGGAGGGGGAGGGGGAGGGGGAGGGGGAGAGGGGGAGGGGGAGGGGGAGGGGGAGGGGGGGAGGGAGGGGGAGAGGGGGAGGGAGAGAGAGAAACCATTACTGCTGACTCCTGGAGCAAAAGCAACGTTTCAGAACAATCAGAAATCTGCACTGAAAAGTCTAGGTGTAAATAAGCTGATAGTGAAAAACGCTGTTGATTCCAAAGGCAGAGAGCGCTGTGAGTGGCGGGATGTTTACCTTGCGAGTGACCCGCCCCCTCGGGACTGATGAGCTGAGGCGTCTGGACCACTGCATTCCGATACTGAGGCTTCTCCGGCAACACCCCGAGTCCAAGGTAAGCAGGATAGAGTTCTGGAAACCACTCCAGCCCCATGGAACTGGGAAGGGTCTTTCTCTCCCCAGGGTCAACATGACTGAAGAAGGGGCTTTTAGAAACGTGAGGCTGGGCTGACTGCAAAGACTGCTGGCACCCAGAGGGCAAGGCTTGGCCAGATCTGCGGTCCAGAGAGCCCGGCCCCTTACTGTCCATTAATCCTCCTACATCAGGGACTCGATTCCGAGTTCCTCCTGCTTTCTCTTCTTGAAGCACTCTGATAGCCAAAGAGGTAAGACTCTGATTCCTTGACTGCAGGACAGAAAGACACCCATCGTGAGCTTTCTCCCTTGGAGTGAACACAGGTGAATGCAGACCTTCGTCTCGAGATATCCTCTCTATGGCTGAATCACCAGTCTTGAAGCTGCTTGTGGAAGTCCACTCCTGCACCCCTGTGCCAGACACGCCTGCCTCGGCATTTCCTTTGCTCCCACAGGCCTCTGCTCCCAGGGTAAGTCCTTTTTCTTGGTTCTGTTGGACTTGGGTTTTTCCTAATGGGCTAATTTTAAGGGCTAACATGAGTGACTCTGTGTCCTCTCGCCGAGTCTCAGTGTCTCTGCCATCAGCAGAGATGGCGCAGAGGCGAGCCCTTCCCGCGGAACCTCTCTCACCGCTCCACGCTGCCAGCCTTGCTCCGTTAGCCTCCTCATGGAGGGTCTTTGGAGAGCTGTGATGACCACCAACAGGCACATCTAGTGGTTCTACCAGAAGTCCCTGTCTTGGGGCATCAGCTGTGTCCCGTTTCAGGTCAGCAGAAGTGGTCTGCGCAGCTGAGGGATATTTTCTTCCTTGATTTGACAAAAACGGTTCCAGCGAGCCAGCCAGGAGAGAGGCTTCTGCTTCTGGAGGGCTGCATCTCCTTCCTTCCGATTTAGGCAAATCTTCGCCAAGTCCTCTTCTAGGAGATGCGCCCTCTGGTGCATAAAACTGAGCCTCGGTTTCTGGGTGGAAACTGACCTTGGGCTCAGTGTTTTCTGACATCCTGAACGAGAGCTGAGTTTGATGGCTGATGTCTTGGTCTGGCTTTGTGGTGGTGCTTGCTCTCTCTGAGCCAACGGCCAGGCCTGGAGGGGGCTCATTTGTCTGTGCTGGCTTGTCCCGTATCAGTTTAGTATTTTTTCCCTCACTCTCTAACTTTCTTCCTTTGGCTTTAATTAAATCTTTGAGGGGCTCTTTCACTTTTTTAGTGCGTGCAGGCGTAGTTGGCTTAGACTGCTGAACATTTTGGTCACCAGGTAAGGTTGCTCCCAACATCTTACAGTACGGCAGGTGGGATTTTAATCTTTTAAATGGCTTCTTGCAAAAAGGGCACACCTCCATTCTGGGCTGATTATCACTCATCTTCTTCCTGCAAAGGGCAAATATGAAATTATGAGGTGCACCTAGTTTGTAAATTAGTATTTTGTGTTATTCGTAACAATTCAGGCTACAAGGAAACTTCAGATTTGTACATTTCTTACAGCTTCCTAGGGAATCTACCATACAAGTAGGTGAGAGACTTACATCTAGTTGATAAATGATCAAAGAAAAGAAAATGTCCAAAATACTAGCTGGAGTAAAATGTTTGCTATTTAAGGTTACAGCAAGTCAACTGGTATCACTTGAGTATAAAGGAGAAGTTCCAAAACTATATCTTTCAAGCACAGGATTCCAAAGTCACTGATCAGAGAGTAGAAGTTTCCACAGTAATATATAAAAATGGGGTACAAAAAGAAGCTTTAAAGATTTATTTATTTATTTGAAAGGCAGAGTTACAGAGAGAGAGATCTTCCATCCGCTGGGTCACTCCCCAAATGGCCACAATGGCTGCAGCTGGGCTGATCTGAAGCCAGGAGCCAGGAGCTTCTTCAAAGTCTCCTATGTGGGTGCAGGGACCCAAGGACTTGGGCCATTTTCTGCTGCTTTCCTGGGCACATTAGAAGGGAGCTGGATTGGAAGCAGAGCCGCGGGACTTGAACTGGCACCATGTGGGATGCTGGCACTGCAGGCAGAGGCTTTTACTTGCTATGCCGCAGTGCAGGCCCTGCAGGAAGCTTTTAGAGCGACTGGCATGGCACAGCAGGTGAAGCTGCTGCCTGGGATGCCAGCATCCCGTATGGGCGCTGGTTCAAGTCCTGGCTGCTCCGCTTCTGATCCAGCTCCCTGCTCAGGCGCCGAGGAAAGCAGCAGATGGCCCAAATGCCTGGGTCTCGCCACCCACCTGGGAGACCCAGATGGAGTTCTGGCTCTTGGCTTCGGCCTAACCCAGCCCTGGCTATTGCAGCCATCTGGGGAGTGAATCAGCAGTTAGAAGATTTCTCTCTGTAATTCTGCCCTTCAATTAATAAATTCAGAACTCCCATGAGAAGTGAAGCTCCACCAACATGTGATGTGTTAGTAGCATGTATGTGTGTCCCCATACATGAGGGGAACTTCCAAATGCTCGTAGAGAGCAGGATGAAAAGAAATTCATGAATACAAAGGGTTTTCATGGGGCTGGCGCCATGGCACAGTGGGTAAAGCCACCACCTGCAGCGCTGGCATCCATATGGGCGCTGGTTCGAGTCCCAGCAGTGTATTATGAAAAAAAAATGTGTGGATTTTAAATATGTTCGCAAAGTAAAACTTCTCTTTTAACCCCGTTTTCCATGAACATTTTGAAGTGCCCTCATTTATACAAATACACATATATAAGATGCACACATATGTACCAATATAAACATGGAGGAGAAATGGTCCCCAACTTTTTATTTAGGGTTTGTGGTACAATGGGGTATTGGCAAATTTATTTAGTTTGAAATCTTTGTTAAATACACACTGTGTAAAAGAAAGTTAAAATATATGTACCTTGTTATCCTTAGAGTCAGGAAAAGAAAATGTTTAACTCCGAAGTTTGGCTAAAAGTTATTTTATCCGCTTTATTCCTTCTGCAAAATAAAATTCCGCGGGCAGAGGGCATCACCCCAGCACTGAGTCTGGCCCGTGATGTTTGTCGTTTGGATTCTCTCTGTAGATGTAAACACAGAAATGTTATCATTACACAGAAATGTGATGAACATACCCCTGACCACGAAACAGATGGAAAGAACGACTGGGGCTGGTGTGTGGTGCAGCGGGTTGAAGTCCCGGCTGCTCCATTTCTGACCCAGCTCTCCGCTGTGGCCTGGGAAAGCAGTGGAAGATGGCCCAAGCGCTTGGGCCCCTGCACCCACGCGGGAGATCAGGAAGAAGCCCCTGAGCTCAGCTCAGCCCTGGCCACTGCAGCCATGTGGGCAGTGAATCAGTGGATGGAGGACCTTTCTCTGTAACTGTCTTTTTTTTTTTTTTTTTTGACAGGCAGAGTGGACAGTGAGAGAGAGAGACAGAGAGAAAGGTCTTCCTTTGCCGTTGGTTCACCCTCCAATGGCTGCTGTGGCCAGCGCACCGTGCTGATCTGATGGCAGGAGCCAGGTGCTTCTCCTGGTCTCCCATGGGGTGCAGGGCCCAAGCACTTGGGCCATCCTCCACTGCACTCCCTGGCCACAGCAGAGAGCTGGCCTGGAAGAGGGGCAACCGGGACAGAATCCGGCGCCCCGACCGGGACTAGAACCCGGTGTGCCGGTGCCGCAAGGCGGAGGATTAGCCTAGTGAGCCGCGGCGCCGGCCCCTTTTTTCTTTTTTTTAAAGATTTATTTTATTTTATTTATTTGAAAGAGTCACAGAGAGAGGTAGAGACTGGTTCGCTCCCCAATTGGCTGTAGCAGCCGGAGCTGCGCCGATCCAAAGCCAGGAGCCAGGAGCTTCTTCCAGGTCACCAACGCGGGTGCAGGGGCCCAAGGTCTTGGGCCATCTTCTACTGCTTTCCCAGGCCACAGCAGAGAGCTGGATCAGAAGTGGAGCAGCCGGGACTCGAACTGGCGTCCATATGGGATGCCGGCACTGCAGGCGGTGGCTTTACCCGCTGCACCACTCTTAAATGTCTTTTAAACAAATAAAATAAATCTTAAAAGAAACTATCTTCGAGACAAATAATCTTGGCCAATCTAGTTACCGACGCGACCGACCCACCTTAGGCTGCACCAAGTCAGACAAGGCACAGAGAGGATGAAAGCCGCGGCCCCCGAATTTGCAAACACACAACTGCAGCTCAAGTACCTGTGGAACTCAGAGGTACAGAGAGCCACAGACTGGGACCTCCGATCCGCTGGTTCCCTCCCGAGATAGGCCAGGCCGGCCAGGAGCCTCTTCCAGGTCTCCCACGCAGGTGCAGGGGCCCGAGCACTTGGACCACTGTCCACTGCTTTCCCAGGCCATCGGCAGGGCGCAGGGACGGAAACGGAGCGGCCGGGCCTCGAACCAGCGCCGCCCCGGGAGCCTCTTCCAGGTCTCCCACGCAGGCGCAGGGGCCCGAGCACTTGGACCATTGTCCACTGCTTTCCCAGCCATCGGCCGGGCCTCGAACCCGCGCCGCCCCGGGAGCCTCTCTCCCCAGCGGCGCTCCCCAGGGCCGGCTTCCCCGGGGGTGCCCGTGCTCCCGCGTCCCGGTCACCGTCGCCGACAGGAGCAGCCGGGCCGCCTGTCCCGGGGCGCAGAGGGTCCAGGCCCGCCAGCCTCGCGGGCACAGGGCGGCCGCTACCCCTCACCCTCACCCTCCTCCTCTTCCTCCTCTCGCCGCACCCGCGCTTCTCCGCCCAGCGGTCGTGACCCCCCACGCCGAGGCGACCCCGCGCCCCATCAGCAGAGTCCCCGCCGCAAGAAGCAGCCCCGCCCTCCGCGACCCCGGCAGAGCCGCAGCGTCCCCGGGCCGCACCTCAGGGTCCCGGAGCTCCCAGGTCGCAGCCCCCAGGGCTGCCCGCGAGCGCCGGCCCAACCCCCGGATACAGGACCCCCGGCAGGCCGTCCACGCAGCTGCCTGACGGGGCTCTCAGTTTGTAAAAATATCCTCACAGGGACTTAATCCAAGGTCTTGTGCCATCGCATCGTGACACACTTTAATGTATTGTACTCCTGGCCTCAGTTTTATACCGGGTGCCACCCCTTATTTGTGGACAGGCGGAGCTCGGGCTACCTCTCACGAGGTCCTCGCCCCGCAGCTCCCAGTCGCTCCTCCCCCTCAGACGCGCCTCTTCCCGTGGGCGGGGTTACCGGTCGGCGCGGCCGGCGTCGCGCCACTGCGCAGGCGCAGGAGGGCGGTACCACGGCGGCTGCGACATGGGGGGGCGCGGAGGAGACGCCGGAAGTAGCGGTGGTACGGGTCCGACCGAGGGGTACTCACCGCCGGCAGCGTCCACCCGGGCGGCGGCAAGAGTCAAGGCCCGAGGGGGTGGGCGTGGCGGCCGCCGGAACACGACCCCGTCGGCTCCCTCGCGCAGTGCGGCGCCGCGGCGCTCCCTTCCACCGGCTGCCATGAGCGAGCGCCTGCGCCCCAGGTGAGAAGGAAGGGACCCCCGTGCCCTTCCCGCCGCTCGCTCGCCCGCCGGCGGGTCTGAGGGATGGAGCCGAGGGGGCGCGCGGGGTGAGGGGTCCGAGCCGGCGTGGGCCCCGCGGGGGCCTCCGTCTGGGGTGCGCTGGCGCCCGCGGGAGGAGGGGACAGGGATGCGCGAGTGGCCGGCTGCCTGGTCCCTGCGGGCGCGACTCCCGCGGGTCCCGGCTGCCCCGTCTCCATCTCCCGCCCCGCGCCCCGGTCTCCTCCTACTCGGAATGGAGTCAGGTCGGTCCCGGAAGAGAGACGGTGGCCCTGGGGCGTCCGTGCCCTAAATTGAGGCGGGTGGGGGGGAGGCAGGGAGGGAGCCCCCGAGGGCGCCGGTCGGGGCTCGCCAAGGTCAGGTGGGCGGCGGGGATTAGGTGCGGCCGAGAGCCGGGGCGGGTGCGATCCTGGCCGCGGCGGCCTGCAGCAGGATTCTAAACTGTTTGGGAGCCGAGCCGTTTGGCTCCGAGGCCGGCCGACCCGCCGTCTTCCCGCCCAGCCTGGGCCGGGGGCTTTTGTGCCTGCCGCGTGCGGAGCTGGAGAGAGTTTGGTCAGGGTACCCCGGGGCGGAGAGGGCCAGCTTTGTTTCGGGTTGGAGCTCCAGGTGAGGCCGAGGGGGTCACCCAGCCCCGGCTCTGCCGGCGGCTGGTTTTTCCTGGGTCGTGCCGGGCTCGCCGCTCTTCGGCCGCAGGCGCGGAGTGAGTTCGGGGGTCCCGGCGCGATGTTGCTGGGGCCGGCCCCCTGCGCCGGCGGCGGTCGGCAGCCCTTCCTCGAGGCCCCTGCGTGGAAACGGGATTTTGCCGTGACTTCGGGGTCCTTAAGGGAAACCCGGGGTCGCCCGAGCTGCTGCCTTGGACTGCTGGTCTGGGCGCGCAGCAGGTGGACCTAAAACCTCTGCTGGGGTGGACAAGAAGCGGGGCCTGTCACTCCCGGGCCGTGGGAAGTAGGAGCAGATGCAATAGCTTCACCTGATGGCCGTTGTGTCCGCTTCCCAAACGTGGTTCCCTTGATAATCTCGTGTAGTTCCCTCTGATAATCCCGGGTCGTTCCCTTGATAATCCCGGGTGGTTCCCTTGATAATCTCTTGTAGTTCCCTCTGATAATCTCGGGTCGATCCCTCTGATAATCTCAGGTAGGGTCATTCCCTCTGATAATCTCCTGGGGAATCTTAGGTATCTGGGAGAAGTTTTAAATACTTCCTACCAGAGCTTTCCCTTTCCCCAGGCCTGCGTCCCCACCGTCCAGATGTGTTTATGCCGGTGGGTTCCTTTTCCCCGCGGAGCAGTCACGTCCCCCTGTCTGCGGCCCACCCTTCAGAGGGGTCCTCGGCTCTGCACAGGCTCCTCTTCGCCTTTCTCTTCGCGCTGTGTCCCTGGGGTCGGAGGGAGCAGCTGCGCCAGCGTCCGCTCACTCGGAATCTGTTTGCTTACTCCTAGGAGGAGAGCTGGGGCTGAGCTGGGGCTATTCCAGACCGGTCCACGGCCGCCTGGCCCTGCCGCAGAGGGCGGGGGGTGTGGCCAGGAGGTCTGTGCTTGCCTGTAACAGAGCCTCACCTCGGATTCACTTGTTACTTAAACAGGCTTTTTTTTAACCTCATATTTATTGGGAATGTTTTTTGCACTAAGAAGAAAGAGTTCCACTTTTAAAAAGTCTGGAAGCCACCGCACTCACGCGCTCGGCTTGCTGCTTTGCTGCCCTCCAGCGTGCTGGAGGCGGCCTCCTCAAGTGGGGCGCTGGCTGGAGCCGGCCTCCTAGGAGGCTGAAGCTGGGAGCAGCACCTGTGCTCAGACGGCCAGGGGCGAGTCTGATCAGTTGCAGGGTGCGGGGAAATTACAGCCTGGCCTGCGACATTGGTGCGGAAAGGTGTAATCTGCCCGGATGCACCGGTAGGATGTGCATGAAGGTGTAGCCGTGCCAATTATTACACAGCATGTTGAAGGAAAGCTGTTTCAAGGCTGGAATCTGCTAGTAGCCTAGAAAAAGGCCAGTGAACCCTGGGTACGGGCCTTCTTGGACTAGTACCATCCAAGAAATGGGCCACCTGTGGGCCAGAGAGAAAATTCTGGTACCGTGAGAAATGTGCTGGTTACGAGGCGGCGATGTTGCGTGGGCTTTTCCCGGGGTTAGGCTGAAATGCACAGGGCCTGCCGGTCCTCCATTCTCTCATCCTTTGTGCCATGCGGCTCCCTGGCAGTCACGTCCTTGTCACCGGAAAGCCGTTCCCCATTGTGAACACAGAAACGCACATGTTGACCAGGTCGCAGGTTCGGTGAGGGTGACTCAGCAGCCCAGGGCACCAGGCGGCTGTCGTCCCGCTGATAAAGTGGGTGTGCAGGCGGCGTCTTGCTGCTGGGGAGTTTCTCTGGCGAGGCCCCTGGCGTCCCGTCTGCTGCTGCTTTGCCACTGCCGCAGTTCTGTGATCATGAGCGCGAGAGTAGAAGTCGCAATTGTATGATAGTCGCACAGCCACTCAGTGACCTTTAAAAGCTGATATCCATCTATTTTTTTAACCTCTTGGCAGCGAGGTAAGGAGTGGAAATGATGACCTTATTTCAAAGCAGCTGAATTTTAGAATGAGGGAAATGGGGTCGCCTAGTGCAGATTGGTTTAAGTTTTATCAGAAGCACACACTCACTGTCATTCCAAATCTAAAGAGATCCGTACTCTATATTAATAAAGTTACATATATTCAGAATGTTGCCGAATCAGAGAATTGAGCTCAGGGTTATAATTAATTGTTTTTAAAGATTTACTTATATTTTTTATGAAAGAGAGGGAGAGAGAGAGATCTTTGATCTGTCACTCCTGTCCCCAGATACTTGCACTGGCCATTGGTCAGGCTGAAGCCAGGAACCCCATCTGGATCTCATGTGCGTGTGCAGGGACTCAGCAACTTGAACCATCATTTGCTGGTTCCCGGGCTGTGGGTAGGAAGCTGGATCAGAAGCGGAGGGGCCAGGACTTGAGCCAGCACCAGACAGCACCAGCCCCTAGCTGCGCCCCTCTGGGTGCCTCGGAAGGTACTGAATTAAGCATCCGCAGCACTTAGACCCTGACCCGTAGGTGTAAGTCCCGCCCCAGAAAGCAACTCCACTTCCCTGAGAAGCATCTAACTGTGCAGGAAACATAGAAGCTCTTCTTCTCTCACAGCCTTTTGGCCCTTTATTTAAATTTGAAACTTGAAGAATTTTATTTTAATGGGTACTTACTGCTCCTTTGCGTCTAGGGGCCTCTGGCTGGCCCTGCCCAATAGAACTTTATGCCACAGGGGCAGTGTCCTCCATCTGTGCTGTCCAGTGGCAGCAGCCACTAGCTGCAGGGGCCACTTCCCATGAAAATGTGGCTACTGTGACCTAGGAACTGGGTGTTTAGTTCCAGTTATTGTAATTTTAAATAGCTGTGTGTGGCTCATGGCTGCTATATTGGACAGTACAGCCAGGCAGTGGGACTCCGTTACACCTCCTGTATTTCCCGTTTCCGACTGGGGTTGAAGCCTTCTGCCTGCCTAACCCTGTGCGGAATGTGCAGAGTCTGTCGCGTGCACCTGAGAACACTTGCCTGAGGAAGACGCGTGGTTTTCCTTTCAGCCTAGAAATTGTAAGCGGCTCGTGCTGCAGACAAGCTGTGGTCTCGGAGCAACAACCCGGCGAGGTGGCTGCCGGCTGGTGGAGCTGGCTGGGGTGGGCAGGGTGGGAGCCCAGTGTGAACAAGAGCTGCTTTTCCAGTGGCTACCCAGCACAGTAATCACTGGGGGGACGTGTTTGCTTAGTGTGATAATTGGGGAAAAATCAGGGATGAAGACAGCTAAAGTTTAAAGGGCTGTTTCTGTGTAGCCAGCAATTTTATGAGGATTTTCTGGGAATACAGGCAAAGGCAGCCATTCTTGAATGTGGAAAGGGAGTAAAATTAGGTAATTTGGAATTGTGATTTCAGGGAGTGTGGAAGGAAGAAAACCTTAATCAGACAGAGCTTGCAGTCTTAGTCATTGACCTCTTCCTGTTCTTATTTAATTCCCGGCATCCATTTAAAATGTTCAGGCTTCTTTTTAGAAATTAGCTTAACTAATTTAAGCTTGACTTTACTGTTGCTCTCTTAGATTTTTGTTCCCAGAGCCCAATGACGGTATTGTTCTAACTTTAACCCATTGGGATATAATGGGATGAATGATCTCTTCTCAGGCAGGGGTGGGAAATTTATGTGAGTATGTTGCATGGTTTACCTTTTAGGATCAATTGTTGGATTTTCTTTTTCCTCCTTGTGATTTAATTTCAGGAAAAGGAGAAGGAATGGCAATGAAGAGGAGAACCATCTTCCCCCCCAGACCAAAAGAAGTAGCAGAAACCCTGTCTTTCAGGATTCCTGGGACACAGAGGTAGGAGTTACAGTCACGTAGTCTCTTGTTCTCACTGCTGGGCTGTACAACCCAGATTCTGCTGTGTAATTAAAGCAAATTTTGTTTATTAAAAAAAGCGATTTTCAGTAGTTTCAACATCCCCTCACGCTCTCTTTGTGAGACATGTCCCCTTTGGTGAAGGTGTGTGGCCTCTCCCAAGTAAACCCCACAGATTCTCTCTCTCTGTCTCTCATACACACACACTCCCTCTGTCTCTGTCTCCCTCCTCTGCGTCTCACACACACACACACACACACACTCTCTCTCTCTCTCTCTCTCTCTCTCTCTCCTCCCTCCTTCCCTCTCTCCCTTCCTCTCCTTTTCTGTCTCTCAAACACATACTCTCTCTCCCTCTTTCTGTCTCTCACACATTCACTTGATGTGTATTAGAAGTTTCAGGGTCCTTTGAAAGCCCATTTTTGAACTCCCTATTTTACATTTCAGAAACAAAGTTATTTTCTGATAGTTATAAACCATTATCATTAAGTTTATCGTTGTCATTGTTGCTTCAGTTCACATGTCTTAATAGAGACTTTAAACATGCAGAATATATAAGGTGTGTTTCTTCAAAACCCCCTTTGAGGTGTTCTGGCTTTTTATTGTGTGTGGGCAGGGAGGCTGGTGGAAGGAGAGCTCTTGGTTTCCTGAGAGAATGCTGCAGTTGGTATATTGGGGAGAAATTTTTTGTGCAGTTGGAAGGCTGCTGTGGTAGGGAAAGGAAGCCAACACTTAAGTAATGCTTCTATTAGATTATACACCTAAAGACTTTGACTCTCTGAAAGAATTAAAAAAAAAAAAAGATTTATTTATTTGAAAGGTAAAATTACAGAGAGGCAGGGGATGGGGTGGGGTGGGGTGGGGTGTGGAGAGACAGAGATCTTCCATGTGCTGGTTCACTCCCCTGATGGCTGCAATGGCCGGAGCTAGGCCCATCTGAAGTAAAGAGCCTGTAAAATAATTTGTGCTTTAACTAGTTCTTGACAATAGGATTTGACCTATTTCCAGTCTTTCTTTATCAATAATTCAAAGTAACTCCCCCCAGGGGGAAAATCAGTAACTGTCATGTAATGATATTAATTTAGGAAACAGTAAGGAACAAGTTAAGATTAGAATCTGCCGATATGGAGGCTGGAGTTTCTCTAGCGTGTTTCCCTCTCCCTTTCAGATCTTATCTGCTCTGTTTTTTCCTTTTTTTTTTTTTTGAATGGTTAACAGAAAAGTAGTTGAGCTTTTGTTTAATGTGATAGAGATATCAGAGATGAAAGAAAACCAAAGGTTCGAAGCTACCATGAACATCTGATGATAAAACTGTAGTTGTGTTTTAGAGTCTGTTATTATTTTGGATTTTAAGACAATTCATTAAAAGACTTTGCAGAAGTTACTGTTTGTTTACCTGTGTTTGTGTGAGTCCTGCTGTGTGACGTCCACATTAATTCACAGGTGTACCAGGTCTAACTCTCTGCATTAACCTTTTTTCCCTGTAGTTACAGTTTTGATGCCTGAGAGCAGAAATAGAAATTGTTATCTTTTTTTTAAATAAACATTTCTGCTTTTTGATTTTAAGTAAGACAAATGCTTTAGTATTAGTGTTAATTGTTTGTATAAGATGACCTTTGCTTGCTTTCTAAAATCTATATGCTAGTATCCCAGAAGAAAATAAGGTGTTGTTATTCAATCTCATGGGTCACACACACCTCGTTCTTACTTGTCCAGAGGAATTCACCTGTTGAGCCGCTGTGTGATTAGTAATCTGAGGGGGAGACTAGTTGTCTTCGTTGCGGTGGAAGGTCAGTGCGGGTAACTTTTATCGGAGCCCACTGGGAGTCTAGACGGTTACAGCATGAGTCCCAGCCTGGCTCCTGGAGCATCTCCCAGAGCAGCATCTTGTGCTGTGCCTCCCGAGTGCGGTACTAACCAGTCGGGGTCCCTCCCGAGTGCGATACTAACCAGTCGGGGTCCCTCCCGAGTGCGGTACTAACCAGTCGGGGTCCCTCCCGAGTGCGATACTAACCAGTCGGGGTCCCTCCCGAGTGCGGTACTAACCAGTCGGGGTCCCTCCCGAGTGCGGTACTAACCAGTCGGGGTCCCTCCCGAGTGCAGTACTAACCAGTCTTGGGGTCAAAGGGCGAGCCAGGGAGCACCTTTCAGATGGAAGGGAAGCCAGACGAATCGAGGTTTCACGGCTCTAGGACGTCATTATGTTGGCAGCGCACGGCAGGTTTAGGGGCGTTTGACTGCTTTCTGACAGTTGTATAAAACAAAATGATTCATTATGATTATTTTTTAAATTAACTAAGGGAATCAGTGGCAAACAGGTACCATTCCATTCCTTATTTTTTTTTTTTTTTTTTTTTTTTTTAAGGATTTAGTTACTTGAAAGGCAGAGTTAGATCTTTCATCTGCTGGTTCACTCCCCAAATGGCTGCAATGACCAGGGCTGGGCCAGGCCAAAGCCAGGAGCCAGGAACATCTGGGTCTCCCATGTGGGTACAGGAGCCAAGCACTTGGGCCGTCTTCTGCTATTTTCCCAGGCCATCAGGAAGGAGCTGGATTCGAAGTGGATCAGCCGGGACTCGAACCAGCACTCATATGGGATGCCAGTGCCATAGGTGGCAGCTTTACCTGCTACGCCACAGCACTGGTCCCCACATTCAACTGTTAACTTTTGCTGTAAGTAAATCGTAGTCACCTGTGAAATGAAGCTAGTATTTGTCTCTTTTCCTAGATACTCTGAAGTGAAAGCTGATTTTTCAAATTAATTGTATAAAGAGAAACTTTAGGGGCCGGCGCTGTGGTGAAGTGGGTTAAAGCCCTGGCCTGAAGCGCCAGCATCCCATATGGGCGCTGGTTTGAGTCCCGGCTGCTCCTCTTCTGATCCAGCTCTCTGCTGTGGCCTGGGAAGGCAGTGGAGGATGGCCCAAGTCCCTGGACCCCTGCACCCACGTGGGAGACCCGGAAGAAGCTCCTGGCTCCTGGCTTCAGATCAGTGCAGCTCCGGCTGTTTCGGCCATCTGGGGAGTGAACCAGCAGATGGAAGACCTCTCTCTCTGTCTCAACCTCTCTCTGTAACTCCGTCTTTCAAATAAATAAAGTAAACCTTAGAAAAAAAAAGAAACTTTATTTTGTTTGCATTTTCTTCCTTCCATTTTATATATATATTTTAAATTTTTCTTTTTTTTTTTTTGGTGGGGGAGGCAGAGGGAGAGAGAAAGTGCTCACCCTTCTGCTGATTCACTTCCTAAATGCCCACGATGGCTGGGTCTGGCCAAGCTGAAGCCAGGGCTGCGGGACTCCCTGTGAGTCTCCCGTGCAGTTGGCAGGAACCCAGCAGGGTGAGCCGTGGCAGCTGCCTGGCGGGGTGTGCTCGGGCAGGAAGCGGAAACTGGGAGCAGCGCTGGGTTTCCGTCTAGGCCGTTCAGTGTGAGATGCAGGCACCTCAGCGTGGCACGTTAAGCTCTGTGCCACACGCCCTTCCCTAGGGGTTATTGTCTCCAGTTTTCAGAAGGAAAAGTTGGGAGCCAGGACAATGAAGTCACTTGCCAAATGTCGCTCCCCCTCTTCGTGGAGGAACGACACAAGACCCTGCGCTGTTCTTCTGTCTGCTCGGCCCTCCCCGGGTTTGCTGCTGGTTCTTCCCGGGTTGGCTACTGTCCCTTCCACCTCCGTGGAAGGGCGGTTCCCCCTGCCACATTCCCCACTTCCGCGGGGGAGCGGCACACCGCCGGCCGGCTCTCTCGGGGGCTGCACAGGTGTTCCCCTTAGGTGTTCCCCTTAGATGTTCCTGGTGCATGCCGTCTCTCTCCTCCTTTATAGTCCTCCTCCGCCAATCCCAACTCGGCTGAGGTGTTCCCCTTAGATGTTCCTGGTGCATGCCGTCTCTCTCCTCCTTTATAGTCCTCCTCCGCCAATCCCAACTCGGCTGCCCACACGCCGAGCACGCTGCTCTCCTCCAATCAGGAGCAAGTCCTACAGTTTATTGGCTGAACTGGAGGCAGCTGTGTAGAAGCTGTTTTCTTCTCTCCCAGCGCCATATTGTGGGAGAGCAGATGCATAGAATAAGTCTTAATTCCAGTAACAGTCTAGTCCGAGTTGCTCCCCACACCAAAGACACTGATTACTGAGAGGCAGGGAGAGCAGGGCCCCAGTTGGACAAATGCTGATGTATATGCCGTCACTAGCGGGCAGAGCGCAGGGCTGAAGGGACCTCACCGAGGAACGGGCCTCGCTGGGATCACAGGGACAGAAAAGAACAGTTCTTCTCTCCTATTTCTTTTAATTGGGAAAAAAATTTTTTTTAAAAGATTTATTTATTTGAAAGGCAAAGTTACAGAGAGGCAGAGAGATGAGAGAGGGCTCCACCGGTCCACCTCCCACATGCCTGCAGTGACTGGGGCTGTGCCAGGCTGGAGCCAGCGTCCAGGTTCTCCCATCTGGACCTCCCACGGGGCTCCAAGTGCGTGGCCGTCTGCTCCTGCTCTCCCAGGCACGTTTGCGGGGAGCTGGTTCAGAAGCAGAGCAGCCTGAACTAACTGGCGCTCTTGTGGGAGGCTGGTGTTGCAGGAGGCAGCTCGGCCTGCCGCGCCCGCCGCAACGCTGGCCCCTGGAGGATATTTGTCCCAGTAAGTGCTGTGATAAGTTACTAGCTATAAAGCAGTTAGCTAGAAGAAATTGGGGTCTGAATTTTTTTCCCAGAACTCTGTAACTAGTGCTAGAATCTTTAAATCTTTAAATTTGAATGTTGACTCCAGTGAGCCTTTGAATACCATTTTTAAAATTGGATATAAATTTACTAGTATGATTAAGATACTTTTTTTGTAAAGTTGTTGGGGACAAACCATGTGAGTTGATGTCTAGATCAGGCTCAGTTTTCTCTGGTTAGCAAGAAAGGGAGTGCTTGTTAATTTGTCTCCATGATAGATCCTGGTGCTGTTGTTTGGATGGTGAAAACCTGCAAGGTTTACCTTGGCTGATTCTGTTTA